TACCAGGTGTTTTCAGTCTTTCAACATTTCACCATCCTGATTCATGCAGTTGTAGACTGGCGGCAATGCAGTTGGCATAATGGTATCTCAATTTCCTCACAGCTCCACACAGAAACATGGCGCTGAAAGTCCACCAGGCACATAACACACCCCTTTCCCGAGGCATGGTTTATCACGATTGTTTAGCACAGCAGTCTCATGGAAAATCTACATGTAACATTACGCAACAGTTTTGATAGTTACTGGCCCCTGCACAATAATATGCTCACTGGGTGTTGTCTCAATCCACCAATCGGCAGTCTCCTAATTGAGTTGCTGTTCAATCAGGTTGTGTGCCATATCATACATACCACCCAATCTGTGCCTTTACTTTATTCATTTAATCAGGTCACATGACTGGTATGTCATTCTCCAATCCATGGTTTAGTGGAAATGTCCTAGTGGGTGTTATTACTTTGTTCAGGTCTTTCTATCGTCAACTAGGTGCAATAGATTCAGCAACGAATCCAATATGTGATTTATTCACCTAGGGATTCCTAGTTTCACGGTAGTTTTAATTAATACAATGACTCGCCATCCCAGAATACAGTGCCCACAAATTGCACATCATGAAATCTATGCTGGGTTTAAATTAATTTATAAGCAAATGAGCAAGAATAAACTCATTCATTTATTTTGGTCAAAATGTATTTTACTCTGAGGCACCATGGTTAGTTTCTGTTCTGATGCAGTTTATAGACACAGATGCACAAAAGTTTCAGACAGGCCTGGGCCAATTACGCAAGAAAATTGTCACCTGTGTTTGTGACCCCAAACTTGCTGATATTTTCACCTTGTAGCATATACCCGGTACCACGAAATGGAATGCGCTACACGGCAAAGTTGGCCCTTCTTTATTACATAGCTCTGATCTGCACACTAAACATAACCGAAAATAAAATAAAAATAAATGTAAAGTGAACCTTTAACAATATACATACAAGCTGTTTCTTTCCAACACTGATTTACTTAAAGTGTTTGCCACGTACCTGATCAATCTTTCATCAGCCATATTTAGTCCCCGTTCGTGTGTCTGTGCGTGAGTGCGTGCGTCCGAACCTGTATCTTAGAAATGCCTGGACCAATCACAATCAACTTCACACATACATCATATTATACATATGCATGTCAATTTGTTTCACAATCTGATTCAAGATGGCGGAATGGCGGCCATTTTTGTGCTAAAAATCATCAAAATCAAGCATTTCTCGGCTGTTTACAAATGGATTTTGTTCAAACTTGGTATATACATTAAACGTTATAGGACCTTAATGCACATCATTTTGTTTTGGTTCACGATCTGATTCAAAATGGCCCAATGGCAGCCATTTTTGTGCTATAAAATCAAGCATTTCTCAGCTGTTTACAGATGGATTTTGTTCAAACTTGGTATATACATTAGACATTATGGGACCTTGATGCAAATAATTTTGTTTTTCAGAAAAGATTCAAAATGGCCGACTGGTGGCCATTTTGTTTTAATGAATGTGGTTCTCGTGCCATATCTCTGACTTGCTTTCACTGATTATGTTCAAATTTTAAATATTCATTATGCATCATGTCATGGATAGACAGATATATTGGTTTGACGATCCTATTCAAAATGGCCAAATGGTGGCTATTTTTGTGCTAAAAAAAGCATCAAATATCAAGCATTTCTGGCATTTATGGATGGATTTTGTTCAAACTTGGTACATATATTAGACATTACAGGTTCCTGATGCACATCATTCATTTTTCAGATCGGTAGTGTTCGCTTTCAGCGCCTTTGAACAAAACTTAATTTTGGATACCGGCGCTATATAAGTTTTTTTTAGATAGAGATTTTTTAGATAGATTCAAAATGGCTGTCTGGCGGCCATTTTGTTTTAATGAATGGGCTTCTAGACCTATATCTCAGACTTGTTCTGACTGATTATATTCAAATTTTAAATATTCATTATACATCATGTCATAGATAAACAGATATATTGGTTTGACGATCCTATTCAAAATGGCCGAATGGTGGTCATTTTTGTGCTAATAATCATCATATTTCTGGCATTTATGGATGGATTTTGTTCAAACTTGGTACATACATTAGACATTACGGGTTCCTGATGCATGTCATTTTATTTTTCAGATTGGATTCAAAATGGCTGACCAACGGCCATTTTGCTTTAATGATTGGGGTTCTAGAGCCATATCTCTTAAATGCTTTGACTGATTATATTCAAATTTTTAGCTCTGCTGTCGACTTTGTCAAGTGAAGCTTATCATATGAGTGATTGTCCGTCTGCGTCCATGTCAATGTTTTACTTTTTCGACTTCTTCTTGAAAACTACAAGCCCGAATGCTTTGATACTTAGTGTGTATGTACCTGGGGTAGACCTCTCTTAGATTTGTTCATTTTGTGATGAGTTCTTAAATTCCCTAATTTTGGTGAATATTTTTGTAATTTTTGGTAAAAAGTTATATTTTCAACTTTTTGTTAAAAACCAAAAGTCCAATTGCTTTGATATTAAATATATAGGTAATACATGTAGACCTTTCTCAGATTTGTTCATTTTGTAATGATATCTTTAATTCTCTAATTTTGGTGAATATTTTTGTCATTCTTGTTAAAAACCGCAAGTCTGATTGTTTTGATATTACATATATAGGTAATCCATGTGTGACCTCTGTCAGATTTGTTCATTTCGTGATGATATCTTCAATTATCTAATTTTGATGAATATTTATGTCATTTTTGTTGAAAACAGCAAGTCCGATTGCTATACATACTATACATATTGTTCATTTTCTAATGATATCTTCAGTTCTTTTATATATTCGCTTTACATCATGTTATATATATATATGTATTCAAAATGGCTGATTTTGAATGCTGTTCCAGAGCAATATCTCTCAATATGGACAAGTATTTGTTTGACGATCAGATACAAATATCAATCATTTTAATGTTAAAAAAATCATATTCCTGACATGGTTGTATTCTAGCTATATTACTATATATCTTAAATTTGATAACTAACAGGGACTGTGACATGCATGGCTTGTTTTATTTATATATATATATATATATATCTATATCTATATCTATATATATATCTATATCTATATATATCTATATATCTATATCTATATCTCTATATATATCTATATATATATCTCTATATATATCTATATATATATCTATATCTATATATATCAGTATATTTTTGTACCAGGCGATACTGAAACAAACCCAGGTCCTGGTAATGCAGTTTCTCAAGCATGTATGAGACATAGTTTGGTTGCACTTGTGTACTCTGAGATTTTTGACATGGGTCAATGGAAGTTTTCATTACAATACTAGATTGAGGGAAATCACTTTATGATGAGTTGTACCCACATAGAGTACATATTAATTCACCTGTTCCATGTATTATTTTTAGTCCCCGTTCGGACACGGATACTTATAATTCGGTCTTTGTCCATCCGGAGTCATATTTCAGAATCCTTGGACCGATTCCGTTCATTCTTTGCATGTGCCTGGGACATATGCACATGCAGTGGTTTAGTTTAGTGATTCGATTCAAAATGGTCGACTGGCAGCTATCTTGTTTTTTGAACATGCTTTGTCAGTTTTCATTCAAATTTGGCACATAGATTATACATGTTGGGATATATGTTCTCTGAACGTCCATGGTCATATTTCAGAATCCTTTGGGCCGATTCTTTGCATGTGCCTAGTACTTTATATGGGACATATGCACATGCAATGGTTTAGCGATACGATTCAAAATGGCCAATTGGCAGCCATCTTGTTTTTTGAAAATGTTGTATTTGGCACATATTTTATACATGTTAGATTACATGTCCAGAAAATTTTTTGTCAAAATCGGATCAAGGATGGTCGATTGACAGCCATTTGAATTTTTGGCCTTACAACTATATTTCCAAGATTTATGTACCATTTTCATTCGTATTTGGCACATACACCATACATGTCACTTTGTTTCATAATCAGATCAAAGATGGCCGAATAACGGTTATTTTTATTTGTGGCCATATTACTTTATCTCTGTCATACATGTCAATTCAATTTGATCAAATTTGGCTGACTGGTGGCCATCTTGTTTGTTTAAAATTGATAACTTGGACATGCTTTCACTTGTGATCTATGTTTTTCTTTGCTATGTCTTAAACCGAAGTGGTCGTAACGCAACATGTTCAAATTTGGTGTAAATAAACAATATGTTGTATACGCCACCTGGGACTCAAGTTTCAAGAACACACTCGCGACAACCCCTCCACTTTAATATGATGAGCACAAAGAGAACTTTCAAAAATTTAACTGGGACTGTGTCATTTTCAATGACCTGTAACACGAGTTATTTTATAATTAAGTGACTGGGACTTTGACATCCATGTCTTGTTTTAAATTTATTCTTCAGGGTAGGCATTGACCTGGACAGTGATTCTAGTTCAGACGAAGAGAATTTTCAAAGTTACCTTCAACGTGTTAAAGAAAGTGATAAAAGTGACATGCAAAAAGGTGATATACCGGTACAAAAAGACAGCCGAACTACCGATAACTTGCAATGCAGTGAAGAAAAAAAACAAGAAATATTAGATGATACAGTTATTTCTGAATCAGCATCAACTGACACGATTACTGTGAGTATTTAATAAAAACTGTTACTAGGTAATTCTTTAGATAAACATTAGCCTACATCTAAGCTTTTAGATTGTTATCATACCAATCTCTGAATACTTGCATATTTTTATTCAGATTACAGAGTCAGTGAATTTGGAAGACTATGCTTCGGCTGTTGACCTTGAAGTGTTAGGTCTAGAACGACTGAAGTATGCCTTAACAGCAGTTGGATTGAAATGTGGTGGCACACTTCAAGAAAGAGCTCAAAGATTATTCTCTATTAAAGGACTCAAACACGATCAAATTGATCAATCTTTATTTGCCAAACCAAGTCGGGGAAAAGCTAAAAGAAAATAATTTACCTGTTTAATGACAATACTGTAAAGCATTGATTTCTATGATTGCTCATTGTTACAAGTGCTACACTATCAGGTGTGCTAGATTGTAATTTGTCTATAATATAATATTTTTATTCAGTTATATATTAAATACAATTACATACTTTTTCCATTTATAACAAGTAAAAAGAAAAAATTTTGTTTTTATCCTTTTCTGCTAATAAAGTTTGTGTATACAACTAGATGATGCTTGCTCACATTATATTAGGCAAAAATGTCTTTGTACATTCCAAGTAAAACTATCGCCCATCAGTGTGTCTTCTTAACCATTATTTTGGATTTCCTCCAGTCATAACTTTGCGGAAAAAGTACTGGATCAGTTTTTACTATTGATCTGTAATGAAGGCACTTCTTTCTGCTATTCCGTTGATTGGATTGTTGGTTCTGAAAATGAGTCAAAAGCAAAGTGTTATTAAAGGCACTACTTGTGCAGGGAATTGATGGACACTGAAAAAGCATTATATTATGTCTACAGTGCATCTCTATTGTCACCACCATATTGTGCTACGTCTGTCTTGCTGTTCTTTTGTATGCAAACTGATATTTATCTTAAGTCAGTCTTGTTTTGATTCAAATATTCTATATGATTTACCTGGCAAATTGAGTCATCATCATCACCATACTGTGTTCTACTTTTATGTGGAGTATGCTGGGCATTAGATTTTGAG